ATCACGGGTAAAGCAGCAAGGATTACATAGATACGTATAGGGCGCAATGAAATGTATGTGAAAAATAAGCAAAGTTTGATGAATAAGTCATGCGGACCAATCAAACTTAAGATTTTGCGGACAAATCCCACTCCAAACAGCGTATAAACCATACACTCATTACATTCGTTCCTGGTATTTTTAAAAATTTATAGTAGATCAATTTTGTACGACATCTCGGCTGACTGATAAAGAACATGCATTTATCTATAAGTCCCGGGCTTATATCATGCATTTAGGGGTTTTAGGGGTGCTGCATTTAGGGAGGGTGCATTTAGGGAGGGTGCATTTAGGGAGGGTGCATTTAGGGAGGTCTGACTGTACTACAAGTCATTCTCGTTATAGTATAGTGAAGATAAATATATAAAATCCTTTCGATATAGTGAATTTAATAATAACCTTCCGATATAATGAACTTGTTAAAAATTTTTACTATAGAACGGATCACTTCACTATAACGAGAGTGACTTGTATATAAACCTTCTCTAACGCACGGTTCAATCTGGTTCCAACTAACAAAAAAAAATCCTAAATTTGGGTCAGGTGATCTTTTAACTATCGCTCCAGGTGGCGATGATTATTGCTAGTTAAGTAAAAGAATTTGAAATTTTTATAACGCTTTTGTGCGTACGTATGGATTAATACAACATAATGCTAATGCCTGCACCGGATATCAGGATTGGGATTTATAACTTTTCTGGCTTTTTAAATGATACAAAAATAGTTAATATCTTGAAAAGCTCAAGTCCAAGACCAGAAAGGTTTAGAGGTAATTAACGCTGCAGTTTGTTAATCAAAAGTATAAATAGGCTTCAGTAGGGTTTGTATATCGATATCAAATTAGGCCAAATTGAATTTTGATTTAAATACTCGTAACGGTAAGAGTGATACGTACGCAATTTGATTGGTTAATATGATTTTTATTATACAAATTTTTCAAAAATAAAGGGTGTTATGTTAAACAGAGAATTTAATTGTCTGGCCTTAGAGTTCTTGGCACGATAAAAAATTTGCATGCATGCCAAATTCTACATAATCTAAAGAATATTCAAAATCATATCTCTATATATATACGTATATATATATATTATATCTATGTTGTTATATATTATAATTAACGGCATTCAAGAACACTCATGCATTTGCCGTGCCAACTACTCTATTGTATCACCAATGAAACCGATAACTGATTATAATTTGAAAATTATTTCAAATTCTAAAAACAAATTTATTGTCTAAATTGTATCTCTGTAATTAAATGCAACTACAATTAATACCTTTTTTTTAAAAAAAAAATATGTAATTAAACGTCTGTAGGAATAGTAGTAGGATTCACAGTAGAATCAATAGTAAAGTCATCTATTTCATTAGCTTTTTCATCATCGCACCCGCACTTGTATTTATCAGCGATTAGGCTACAATCGAATATTTCTTTCTCTAAACGTACATTGACAATATTATGAATAGCGCAAGCCCATTGAGATGCGGTTTCTCTAGAGGAAACTTGAGGTGGATATTTTTCCAAAAGTGTTTGAAATTCCGTTGCACTAAAAAGTAAATATATAATATAAATATGAATCCCCATAAAATATTTTTTATTATGCTCACCATTCACCGCAAGGATATAGTCTACTGAACAAATAAATGAAATTGCGCAACGCTTCTTTTTCGCTTGTGGACGGATTCTCCGGGAATCGTGCCATCATAGTATGAAGTAACTGAAATAAATAATTATTAATATCCTATCGCTATATATAAAAAATTAAGTCAAAAACGATTTATAAAATAAAGCCCAATCGAGCCATAAATAGTGACGTAAATAAGTTTATATCGATACTCTTGAATAGCGAAAAGCCGTTATACCTTCCAAGTTCCACGTCCAAGCTCAGCTCTATCACAAGTTTGGTTTTGATTACGTTAATTTTAATGAAATCTAAAGAATTAATCTCAAAATTTTGCAACATACTTTATGGTGTCGTTTTTTAACTCTGGCATAACAACCGGCCCATGAATTACTTCGAAAGAAACTTCAGGTATTTCAGGTATTTCAGATACCGAGTCATTTATCTGTTCATTAAAGTCGGGTAGCAGCCGTTCATTAAGAATAACATCAGTATAATTTAGATAAAGAAGTGTAGGTAAAATAATTAGAGAGATCAAGATGAAAAAAATGGCAAGTGGGCGCATATTTTATGTGTTGTTATGAATAAAGCATATAGCAAGGACAAAAAAGCGAACGAAAGAAGAGCAAACGAGTCAGTAGTCGATACTGCCTTAAAGTAGTTTAAATAAAAGCATCGACACAATAATCAGGCTTATGTTTTCAACATGAGAAACAAGTACTGTGCGATTTTTTTATCATAAAAGTAGTTTAAATATGCAGATTTGCAGATTTTTATAAATTTAACTATAGATAAAAACTGTATCTGTTATGTGGCCACATAAATAAAACCTGTCCAATCAATCATTAACAGCGTCAGTTTAAAATGTCTGTTCTATGTTTTATTTGCGTTATTTATTTAAAGGTTTCAATTTCTGAAAAGTTTCAATTTTTCAAAAAGTTAGGATAATATTTCTTTTTTTTTAAGAAAAAGTTTGATTATAAACATTTACATGGAAAATAAAACAAAGCAGCAAGCGCTGTCTATACTGCAATCACAAAATGTTTTCTTGTTCGTGCCAAATGTTATAGGTAAGCACAATCGAGTTTGAATTTGCGATCTTTAATTTTGTTTATATTCCAGGAAAGTTGCAATATTTTTCTTAGCTTTACTAACTATCTAGATCGGATTTCATAAACTTCATAAATCAGGCTATACCCGAGTCATTCTTGCCATACTTTCCCTGTATTACATGCCATTCTCGCCTTGGACGTGTATGGGGTTATACACAGTTTCATGTTTGCTAGATGCTGTGGACGGTAACGCTGCCAGATATTTTAATCAATGTATGTGTTTCCGTAATAGATTGAGTTTTAAGTCTAAACATTAGATCATAGTTATTTTTTTCATTATGTGTAGGTAGTAAATTTGGTGCAGTTCTAGACATGGTCACAGATAGGTACGCACATGTTATTTCTGTTGCTTATTTGTATTAATTGATGAATTTCTAACTAGTTCTAGCATCTTATATAGATCTACTACAACTTGTTTGTTATGTTATCTCTCCTCAATTTACCCATCATGGACAATCGTATTTCAATTATTAATATCTTTGGATCTCAGTAGTCATTATATGCATATGTATAGGTGAGTTAATAGCATACTTGAATAATATCATATAAGAAAAAGATGCTTATACATATACATTCAAGCTCCTTAACAGCTGGTGCTTCTAGTCATAAGAAAATATCAAAATCATCGAATCGTATGCTGAGGGCCTACTATTCAGATAATGTTAGTTTTTCTTTTAATGTTTAGTGAAATTACGTGTCGAATTTACCAATAATCAAATATCTCGGATCTCGGGAATATATATTTAAATATATAGAAAATTCTTTTTGGCGTTTGTGCACTCAATGAATTGTTTTTTGTTGCATTATACCTTTTATCATTTGAAGAGGATCCTACTTGTGAGTTTTAATTCAATCAAGTTATTATTTTGACCTTTTATAACTAATAATTTAATAATTTTATGTTCGAAAAGTCCCAGAATGGAGCGTCTTTCCTCTTTATGTTCTTGCAATAGGCTCATTTCCTATTTGTGCCATCAAACAGGTGATTAACATAATTCAATTGGTGGGGGCAAGCCAGAATTTGGCAAAAGTTGATGTAGAAGATCGAAAAAAGGCATTTAAAAGCAATTGAGAAGGTAATCAAGTGACTTAAATGTATAATATAATACTTGTATAGTTATCACATCTATTTTTTTTTTTTATTTTTTTTTTTGAGAAAATGCAGGAAAGTTATTATTTATTTGTTATTATTATTATTGGGCTACCATCTACATGGAAGCTAGTATCTTGACTATGCATTAATTAAAATATTTAATTCCGAACCATTAAGCAAGATGATCGTTTATCTTAATATAATATGCTAATGTTGTCCTTTAAATATACAGAAACGATTAGTACAATCTATACTTGCCGAGTAGTGTACTTAATGGATTAACGAACATGTGATAATAACTTATTAAAAATAAACATTTAGACTTTTCAAGAATATTAAATATTCATTGTGACCAGAACCTACTTTATTACGTTTATACACATAAACACGTAATAACACGCCACCCAAGATTAACATAAAATCACTATGAAATAATTGAATTCATACAACGACTGGCCACATTAATACATAACATAAATTTATATCATTACATTCATCATCTAGTTACCTGATGGATCAAATCTGTCAGCTCTTTTTTTTTTTTGCCTTTTTTTTTTTTGTCTGCTAAATATGACTTTATTGCATAGTTTTTTTTTGATTGATTATATTACTATATATGCGTTAATATTACACTCGTCCAATAAGTTTATTCTTTAATGTAATTTTTCGTTGGACCTAATGGAATATTGGAGTTCTAGATTCTAGTCATCAAGCACAGATTATTAAGGACGACTAGTGATGCAGACGTATTTAACTCGAAATACGTTACGGCATGCGAAATACGTGTTGTAATGCCGTTTAATATATCGTATGCCGTATATCGTATTATGTATTTCGTTATATACATCGTGCAGAGATATATTGACAGCTTCTCGTAATTCGATTTCGGTAAGTTCTTTTCCATAATCATTTAATTCAGATTTTATGTTCGTCATATAATATGACCTAATCTTTGCCATAAGAGCTTCTTCTCTAAAACCTCCATTTTTAGTCCAAACCCTAAAATTAAAAAATTAAATAAAAAAAATTTATTAAATATAATAATGGATCTCTTGCAATATTGATGGCCCGCTTTGTAATCGATTAATAATACATATATTTTATTAAGTATACTACCTATCTTGCAAGAGATTTTAAAATAGCAAATATATAATATACTTGCCACGACAATATGAATGTACATATAGTATGATAAAAGATAAATATTGCTATATACTTGCTTAAACGGGTTTGTTGGCAATTCGATCGACCGTTGCCGCTTAATATTAAATGATTAAAACAATCGGCTAAGTTTGCCATGTTACTTTCTAATACATCGATGGTATTGCTACACCTTATAATCCGGTATAATTAATTTGCTTTAGCGATGGTTATATTAGACAGTTGATAACAAATACCGTGTTTTGCTCAAGTAAGTATAAGGTGTATTGCAGTTAAGATTTAAGAGGATTTAAGTAATTTGCAATTACGAAAGAGGCAAACGACTAAATAAATGTATATGAAGATACAAGTAGGCGTATGAATGTGTCTACCTTTACGGTAATCTCGTGATCAAGATCGTTAACTCGCTCAACGACTCAATTAGATTTTATCTCGTGTATGAAGACACGACTTAGTAGTTTATTTAATATAAATGAGTGTAAGATTAACTGTCGATTCCTAGAGAGAAATCGTTGAATCCAACTAATTATAGTTATCGATTATATTAGATTTATTCTATGGGATAGTTTATGTGTAATCTAATATAATTAATACGTACATATAATATTAATACATATAATAGATTCAATAATAATAATAATAGAACTACAGGATTAAAAATACGTAGTGATACCGTATTTCGCGGGCTCTCCCCTGTAAAATACTTAACGGTTTATAAGGAGATTTCTGTGGTGCATATTATATTTATTATGTGTAATCTTGCCTATTATTCGTTAATGTAGTAATTGTTCCTATAGCGCCATAGAAGGATCCACATAATCCGACGGGGGTGGTTTAGCCCGCGAAATACGGTACTTAAGTGCTGCAAAAGAAAAACCTGTAAATTTTATGGTTTTCCTTTTGCGGTACTTCCTGCAATTAATAAATTAAGGATCAAAGGTTTTTAATAGATTATACATACTTAAAGTTAAATTGTTACAATGATCAATTTCTTTATTGACCAGATTTGTAACTCGTGCTACCTCAGCATCTAAAGGCCTTCCCGAAAGTGTAGATCGTGATGGTGGGTCGTATTTTAATTTTTTAAATAAATCCTGTGTAAAGGATTTTCGATTACTTCGAATGGGATTCCGGCCATTTTCCATGCTTTCAATAATGATTGATCGATTTGACATTTTGATTCTGAAGGAAAACAGTCCACATTTTGTAAAATCATTTGCTTGAACACGAGATCCTCAATTAACTTTTGACGCCAGTAATGGCTAATATTTTCAGGGCATTTTATTTACACAGTAATTGCCTTCATAGTTTATCTCCCACGTTCCCAAATAGCCGAACAGTGAAAACAAGTTGCTTTATAATGACCGTTGCCCTACCTTTTATATAAAATAACAAAATTTCATCAAATTTGGAACAGAAAATATCATCCGAACTCATTTTGAGAGAAATACTTTATTATATTTATATATATTATAAAATAAACTACGGTATGTACATATGTAATAAATCAATTACGTATACACGTATCTACGTAGTTTATTTGTCATTATCGTTATCAATCGTTATTATCATTACTCGAATTACAATATACGACATTCTACAAGAATTATAGTCTAACATAATATTTAATATGACCAGAGTTACCACCTACGTCAATACTATCAAAAAATTGCAACTTCACTACAATCGGTCGTAATTCATTACCTCAATGCAACTACATCACTAAGGACGACCACTGCGACCACGGGGACCACCTCGAAAACCTCTGCCACGTCCACCTCGCGCTGTATTAACACAAAAATTGTTAAATAGAGCTTGTAATTACATTAACGTAAGAGTACTAAATACAGACCTTGAGCTCTTGCTACTGTAGCTTTTCCTCTTCCCATGCCTATTCCTCTTCCTTTCATAGCGTTAGGCCCAATTTTTTTGAACATTGGCGCATTCTTCAGCATATCAGGTACGATAAAAAATCGAACGTGTGAGCCTCTAATGTACACTTGATCCAACTGTGAGACTCGACCATCTCGTGCTGTTACCGTGATTTCTCGAAGTTGTACATTCATATTATCTTCAGCTAATTTTGATTAAATTCAACCTTTGCAAAAAAAATAAAATAAAATAAAACAAAGTAATAAAAGTTTTTTACCTTCAGATAATTTTCCTCTATAAACAGTTCCATTGTTTAATTCTAGAGTTACAATATGGCCTTGAGCTTCATGAAGTAATTTGATCGGTACGCCAATAGACATTTTGATTTGCGAGAAGGAACAGAGTATAAAACTGCTTCGAACATCATATCATTGTAATATCTACGTTTCTGTCACATGACTTAACCAGATTATCAAGGGACATTTTCTTACAGGGGTTCAAAATGTTATATTATTGGTCAAATAAAATTTTCTTACAGGGGTTCAAAATGTTATATTATTGGTCAAATAAAATAGTAACGTATCAAATCTTTTATTTTAAAAAACAAGAGTCAGTTTCATTTTGAGTATTCATGGATATTCAGAAATAATAAAAATTTTGAAGAATTACATTATATTTCATTAAAAATACAATGTGTAAATTGTCAAAAAAAAAACCGTGTATACTATATATATAGATAACGAAGAAACATCTAAATTAATAATTTGTTATATCGAAGTTAATTTAATTTTAGGAGCTAGAACTGGACATATGGGGTCTTTGCCTTGAAAATCAAGTCATGGGACATAGTAAATCATATGTCATAAATTTGATTTTCAAGGCAAAGACCCCATATGTATTTGTTATATAGATTATACTGTATGAGTACAAAATAACAATAAAGATCATAAATGTTTTTTATATGTATAGTGATCGGGTTATTATATGTATAAATGCCAGGACACTGGATGATCTGAACCAGAGAGCACTATTTAATCAATGCTATGAATGTGCGGAGAAAAGTTATGTTAGTGATATACTGTTGATGACGAAAGTGAAGTTGAATGGTTGACAACACAATATAATAATCGCTTTGTTCATTATCAATCTTAGATACGGAGAATACAACATAGATTCTATTAACTGTTAACAACGTGAACCGGCATGTTGTTAGTATTTAAGAAATAGTTGCTTCAGATTGATTGATGAGTATGGTATCGACGGTATAAATTTTTGCATTAATATTAAACTCAGCACCGTTCCTGAAATTATGGTTGATTCTCAATGTCAACTTAATTTTATTAGTGCCAGCTTCATCTCTGTATATTTCAACCTATTGTGTACAAGTATCACGAATGTTGTAAATCATGAGAGCGGTGAAAGTGCGAGACAAGAAATTGTTTGGCCAAGAGAGGAAATCGATATTTTCAATACTGAGTTTCTTAAAAAAAAAATACACATATACCGATACTACACACTTATACATTTATAAAAGGGAGTTAACAGTTTTTACTAATAAAAATCTTCAGCTCTCTAGTTTCAGGGGTACCAATTCAGCAATTGTGTTTATAGTAAGGTTGTAACGGAATTAACAATGGACTATAATACTTTCTAGAAGCTGTTTATTCTTCGATGCAATATTAAATGGTGACATCAGTACTGCAGTAGTGGCGAAATCTAACGCTAAAACTAATCCATTTTTAAATATACAGTATAACCGATTTAAATTCATTATTTTAATTCCTCAAATCGCCGAAAATCTGGTCACAGAAACTCACCGTTACATAAATTACGAAAATTACGGTAACGGTAATTTAACAAGTTACCTTAACAAATTGCTAGCATATAATTTTTTATATAACATATGACGAACCAACGGTCAAGGCTTGATTATACATGATAGATTCTGCAAAATAAAATATTATTATACACATTAGCAATTCTGTAACCTCAATAATAGAAAAAAAACGAACAATATCTAACGTATTTAGTTTCTATTTGAAGAATAAAATAAACATGACAAACCCACGGGATAGTAGAAAATTTAGTAAGATTCGATTGCAAAAATCTCATGAGATTGATTTCTAGAATCACAATTTTCAAACTGGGCAATCTTCACTACGAGTATGGAGAGCCTGGCACCAGCCGGATTCGAACTTGTAGCTAGTGCAATCTACGGGCCTGCGTTCTAACCGTTAACTTATATCAGAATGATCGTATAATTTTTAAAATGTATTCCTTCTAATCATATAAAATTCTACTTGAATAGTCGCATCTGATTAGATGAAATTATTCATTTTTTTTAAAGATATATATTTTGGTAACCATCTAAAATCAATAATTTTTTATTTTAATTATATAAGGATATAGAATCAGAATAAAAAATTTTCCTCAATTTTAGATAGATGGTTGTCAAGATATCTTTGCTCAAAGTTTAGAAAAATTTTATCGCAACTTGTTTTGATAGTTATTCTAGTTATTCTAAATTTTAAGCGAAAATATCTTGACAACTACCTATCTAAAATCGATAAAAATTTTGTTATTTTAATTATACAAGCATATAGAATCAGAATACAAAAATTTCATCGATTTTAAATAGGTGGTTGTTAAAATATCATCGCTCAAAGTTTAAATAAAACTTTGATGCAACTTTTTTTAATAATTATTCAAGTTTTTTCCAATCTTTAATAAAATTGATAAAAATTTTTTTATTGTAATTATATTGTAACATGGGGTGTTATCAATTAAAACAGCCCTTTTTTACTTTTTTTAAAAAATTGAGTTTTTTCGATTTTCTAATAGATATATATTTGGCAAAAAGATTTACCAAATCACAAGACCAAATTATATAATAAAAAGATCTGTAAATTGCAAAAAACTGTAAAAAACTGAAAAAACGACAAAATCTAAAAATAGAAATATAAGATTTCTAGATCGACAAGAACCCAATAGAATATTATAGAAATGAAGATCACCTAGATTATCAATAAACACATACTTCCCTAAATCCATTCGTAATGACGATTATAATGCTAAAGGTTACCAGTAACGAAAGTATTTTAGTTAAGTTCAAAAGCTATAATAACAAATGTTTTTTGAGTTAAGTTCAAAAGCTATAATAACAAATGTCTTTTTTTAGTTTAGTAAATTCCATTTTTTGGAGTGTTTTTCGTCGTTCCTTTTTTTTTTAAAAAAAAAAATGGTTTTCTAGTTACTAATTTTTTTTTTTTTTATCTTTTAAGTGTTTTCTCCCAGTGCTGTATTGGTAAGTGAACCTTTTTCTGATCTTTAGACGTTTTTTAGTAAGCCTTGTAGACTTTTACTAATCTTTCGGAATTGATTGTCATGGATCTTTCGATTTGTTGAACTTTCTTGTGGACTTTCTGGTTTTTGCCGTTTTTGAAGAATGTTCTTGTTGACTTTCTTCCTTTCTTTCGACGTTTTTGAAGAACCTTCTTACGGACTTTCCTCTTGTCTTTTAGCAGGGGTTTTTTTTGAACTTTTTGTGGACCTTCTCTTGTATTTTCGGCGTTTAGTTGGTGAACTTTCTTGTAGATTTTCCTCTGGTCTTTCGGCATTTTTTGGTGAAACCAGAGGAATATTCACAAGAAAGTTTACCAACCATTTTCTTGTGGATTCCCTCGCGTTTTTTTTTTGGAGAATTCTTTTGTGGATTTCCCTCTGGTCTCTCGGCATTTTTTTTTTGGAAAATTCTTTTGTGGATTTCTCTCTGGTCCTTTGGCAGTCTTCTGGTGAATTTCTTGTGGATATCTCTCTAATATTTCGGCGTTTTCTTTTTTTTTTTGGAGAATTCTCTTGTGGATTTCCCTCTGGTCCTTTGGCAGTCTTCTGGTGAATTTCTTGTGGATATCTTACTGATATTTCGGCATTTTTTTTTTTTTTTCTGGAGAATTCTCTTGTGGATTTTTCTCTGGTCCTTCAGCAGCCTTCTGGTGAATTTCTTGTGGATATCTTTCTGGTATTTCAGCGTTTTTTTTTTTTGGAGAATTCTCTTGTGGATTTCCCTCTGGTCCTTCGGCGGTCTCCTGGTGAATTTCTTGTAGATATCTCTAGTATTTCGGCGGTTTTTTTTTTTTTGGAGAATTTTCTTGTAGATTTCCCTCTGGTCCCTTGGCGTTTTTTTTGGAGAATTCTTTTTGGATTTCTCTCTGGTCCTTCGGTGGTCTTCTGGTGAATTTCTTGTGGATATCTCTCTAATATTTCGGCATTTTTTTTTTTTTTTGGAGAATTCTCTTGTGGATTTCCCTCTGGTCCTTCGGCAGTCTTCTGGTGAATTTCTTGTGGATATCTTACTGATATTTCGGCGTTTTTTTTTTTTTGGAGAATTCTCTTGTAGATTTTCCTCTGGTCTTTCGGCAGTTTTCTGGTGAATTTCTTATAGATATCTTTTTGGTATTTCGGCGTTTTTTATTTTGGAGAATTCTCTTGTAGATTTCCCTCTGGTTCTTCTGGTGAATTTTTTGTGGATATCTCTAGTATTTCGGCATTTTTTTTTTAGAGAATTCTCTTGTGGATTTCCCTCTGGTCCTTCAGCGTTTTTTCTGGCGAATTTATTGTAGATATCTCTCTGGTTCTTCGGCGCTTTTCTGGTGAATTTCTTGTAAATTTTTCTCTGGTATTTCGGCGTTTTTTTTGGAGAATTCTCTTGTAGATTTCCCTCTGGTCCTTCGGCGATCTTCTTGTGGATATCTCTAGTATTTCGGCATTTTTTTTTTGGAGAATTCTCTTGTGAATTTCCCTCTGGTCCTTCGGCGTTTTTTTGGAGAATTCTTTTGTGGATTTCTCTCTGGTCCTTCGGCGGTCTTCTGGTGAATTTTTTGTGGATATCTCTCTAATATTTCGGCATTTTTTTTTTTTTTTGAGAATTTTCTTGTGGATTTTTCTCAGGTCCTTCGGCAGTCTTCTGGTGAATTTCTTGTGGATATTTTTCTGATATTTCGGCGTTTTTTTTTTTTGGAGAATTCTCTTGTGGATTTCCCTCTGGTATTTCGGTGTTTTGGAGAAATTCTCATGGATTTCTCACTGGTTCCTCGGCGTTTTTCTGGTGAATTTCTTGTGCATTTTGATGTTTTTTTTTTATGTTGGAGAATTCTCTTGTGGACTTTTCTCTGGTATTTGGTTTTTTTTTGGAGAATTTTCTTGTAGATTTCCTAGTGAATTTTCTTTTTTGTTTTTTGACATTTATTTTGTTAACTTTAAAATTTTTTAAATTTTTTTAATTTTTTTAATTTTTAAAAAAATATAATAAAGTACAAAAAATAATCTGTATTCAAGTTTGTATTATTTATTATAATTATGTATTATAATGTTGTTATGCTATAATGTTGTATTATTATAATATCATATTACAGTAAAATTAGTTTTTTTAATATTATTATACAATTTACAATTAAAAATAACCAAATAACTTATTAATTATATTGTTATGTAATTCTATAATTTAACTTTATTTAATAAATTAATATTTAATTTTATTTAAATTTGGTTTAGTAACAGTAGGCATTGGACACAAATCATCTTTTTTGTTAGGATTTTGTATATGAGGTCTTATTTGTTCATATAAATACCATTGTCGTTCTGCACTAAGACCAGGTAATTTTTTTTCAACTAATTGATTAAAATTATCTTTTTGTCTAATTTTTTCAATTTGTATAGTTGTTTTTTCTCCATTAGAAGATGTACTAATCTTAACTTGTCCTTTGTCTAAATTATTAAATTCAAAATAATGTTGTTTTAATATATCTGGAACTGTTGTAAATTTTTGTTTTAACCAATTTGTCCACTCATAAAAATGCACAACTTGATTCCCTTCATTATCAAAAACTGTTTGTGCAATATTATATCCACCAGGAGTAGAATTTTGAACTATATTAATTAGATCATTAAAATTATCTACTTCAGATTTTCTTAAAAATAATTTTATCAATCCAAAAAATCTATCTGGACTAAATTTAGTATGTCCTGCAACCATAAAACAATACGTTATACTATCATGTAATTCTGTTAAAACTCTCCAAGCTAAATATGCAATCATTGCATTATTCTTATTTTGTTCAGAACAATTATCTGCATGAATTACTAATTTTTTTTCTCCTAATCCATATAATTCAAAATAATTATGAATCAAAGAAATAACAACATCTGCACCTTTACCAACTAATTCACTTTCTTTAATAAGATAATTTACCTAAAATTATAAAATATATTAATATAAATATAATTATATACAGTAATAAAAAATAGTATTATTTACTTGACATGGAAATGCATCATCACAGATTCTAAATAAATGAACTTTGTATAAAGATTTAAAATAAATTTCACCCTAATAATAAAATAATTAATAAATAATTATAATTAAATTGTTATAAATTTAATAAAATTATTTACTTCTTGTTGAGATGAATATGGTAATTGAATTTGCTGTGCATAATCCCAAGAAAGATGAACTGTAATATCTAAAGAATTTGGTTTTTCAGGACGTATAATACTATTAATTCCAAATTTTTGAATATCTTGATATGCTATGTTAATATATTTTCTAATAAAATTTATAAAATAAATTATTAAAAATTAAAATTATTTAAATAATTTATAAAATTTAACCAATAACTAATCTAAATTTTAAAATTACTTACTTATAATTTTCTCGTTCTTCTTGTGCCCATTTAATATATTTATGCCATTCTAAAACTTTAGTTTCTTTTTCTTCAATTGACCAATAATTTGCATTAAATCTCATAGTTTTGTATTTTAAACATAAATCACTACGTGGAGTTAATTTTTTGATATTTGGCAAAAATTTTTTCAAATTCTAATAAATGTTATTAAACTAATTTCAAATTGATTATTAGTTTTAATTGCTTCTAAATATTGTGTATGTAAAGATAAATAAGTAGTATCTGCTGGTAAATATATAATAGCAATAGTATTATTACGAAAACTTCGTCCTATAAAATTTAAATTTATTATAAATAAAATAATTAGCTTTTAAATTAATTGCAGTAAAATAAAATATAATTGCTATAAATAAATTAAATAATTATAAATAAAATAATTTAAAATTACCTGGAGATGGTAAACCATTTTGTTTTGCAAAATTTCCTATAAAAGTAATTACTTTCATTACTATTTCAAAAGATATTGTTCGATTTCCAACTTTTCCAGTTTTTGAATTAATACGTAAATTTATATCATGTTCTACAAAATGATCTCTTAAATTTTTCCATCTTGTATCACCAAGTCCATAAATTGTTTTAAAAGCATTTTTACAAATTGATTTTCCTTCAAAGCTATATTCTGTAGTAAGCTTAGACTTTTTTGAATGTTTAATTACTTCTGGTCGTTTAGTAGCAGCAATTATACCTAATAAATATATATCTTGAAAAGATTTAGAAAGATTTTTAAAATTTAAGTATCTTTTTAAAGCTACAGAATATTCAACTTGAGTTTGTAAACAATTTTTTTCACAACAATCTTTTTCAAAAGATTTTTTAAAACTATCATTTTGTAATAAATTTATTTCATTTTCTAAATCTTGATTATCATCTTCTTGTTTTTCAATAATATCTTTTTCTTTATAATATAATTTTTTAAATTTTGAAAGCTCTTCTTCAGTCCAAACCTCACTTTCTAAAAGATCATTTTCTGTAGTTTCTAAAATTTCAGATGTTTCAAATAAAGATAAATTATCATCTTCTTGAACTAAAAATTGAAACTGTAAATTTGAAAGGTCTGCTTGTAATTGAGTATTTTCTATATGAGTTTCTTCAAAAATATTTTTATTTAAGGAAAAAATAGACATTTTTACAAAATAAAAATTTAAAAATTCAAATATTTTAACAAATACAACTAATTATATATATATTAACTACAATACAACATGCAGTATTCAAAATTTAATTGTTACTCTATTAATGTATTATGTAAGATATATACTATTTTAGAACATACATAAATACATATTATTTTAATATTATTTAAAACAATGTAATTTTGCAAAAAAAAATTATTGCTATTTTCAAAATGGTTGAAAATAGATAAAAAAAAATTTTTTTGAGTATATGCATATACTCATATACTGGATTACCTTAGCACATTGATACTGCATACATACTTATTGTTTATCATAAAATAATTGCATATCTAATTGTTACAAATGACTTATAATAATTAGATATGTAATTGTTTTATGATAAACAAGAAGTACATATGCAGTATCGATCTTCTATCAATGTGTTAAAGTAATCTGATATACGAGTATATGCATATACTCAAAAAAATTTTTTTTCAACCATTTTGAAAACAGCGATAATTTAATTAAAAATTTATATTGTGAAAAAAAAAATTCATGTGCACTTGCATTTATAATACAATCATAACAATATTAATAAGCATATTTATTGATAAAAACATTGTACATATGTATCTACAAGTACACGCTTCAGTAAAAAAAAACTTCATCAGAGTTCCGAGTTGATAAAAATTTTACAAATTGATTACAGTAGTTAAAATTAAACAACTAATAAATCCACAAAAGAATTCTCCAAAAAAAAAACGCCAAGGGACCAGAGGGAAATCCACAAAAGAATCCTCCAAAAAAAAAAAAAAAGCCAAAGAACCAGAAGGAAATCCACAAGATAATTCTCCAAAAAAAAAAACGCCGAAGGAATATTCACAAGAAATTTGCCAGAAAACCACCGAAAGACCAGAGTGAAATCCACAAGAAAATTCTCTAAAAAAAAAAAAACGCCAAAATATCTACAAAAAATTTACTGGAAGATCGCTGAAGGACCAGAGGGAAATCCACAAGAGAATTCTCCAAAAACGCCGAAGGATCAGAAGGAAATCCACAAAAGAATCCTCTAAAAAAAAATGCCGAAAGGCCAGAGGGAAATCCACAAAAGAATCCTCTAAAAAAAAAAATGCCGAAGAGCTAGAGGAAATCCACAAAAGAATCCTCCAAAAAAAAACGCTGAAGGACCAGAGGGAAATTCACAAGAGAATTCTCCAAAACGCCGAAGGACTAGAGGGAATCCACAAAAGAATCCTCCAAAAAAAAAAAACGACGAAAGGCCGGAGGGAAATCCACAAAAGAATCCTCTAAAAAAAAAAAATGCCAAAATATCCACAAGAAATTCACCAGAAGACTGCTAAAGGACCAGAGGGAAATCCACAAAAGAATCCTCCAAAAAAAAAATGCCGAAGGACCAGAGGGAAATCCACAAGAGAATTCTCCAAAAACGCCGAAGGACCAGATGGAATCTACAAAAGAATCCTCCAAAAAAAAAACGCAAAAAGGCTGGAGGAAATCCACAAAAGAATCCTCCAAAAAAAGAAACGCCGAAAGGCCAGAGGGAAATCCACAAGAGAATTCTCCAAAAAAACACCGAAGAACCAGAGGAAAATCCACAAAAGAATCCTCCAAAAAAAAAACGCCGAAGGACCAGAGGGAAATCCACAAATGAATCCTCCAAAAAAAAAAACACCAAAGGATCAGAGGGAAATCCAACAAGAGAATTCTCCAAAAAAAAATGCCAAAATGCTAGAGTGAAATCCACAAAAGAATCCTTCAAAAAAATGCCGAAAGACAAGAAGGAAATTCACCAGAAGGGCCAGAGGAAATCCACAAGAGAATTCACAAAAAAAAAAAAAAAAAACGCTGAAATATCCACAAGAAATTCACTAGAAGACTACCGAAGGATTCCACAAGAGAATTTTCCAAAAAAAAACACCGAAGAACCAGAGGGAAATCTACAAGAGAATTCTCTAAAAAAAAAAATGCCGAAGGACCAGAGGGAAATCCACAAAAGAATCCTCCAAAAAAAAACGCAGAAAGACCGGAGGGAAATCCACAAGAAAATGGTTGGTGAACTTATAAACATTCCTCTGGTTTCACCAAAAAATGCCAAAAGACCAGAGGAAAATCCACAACTAAACGCCGAAAAGACAAGAGAAAAGCCCACAAGAAAGTTCTTCAAAAAAAAAAAATGCCGAAAGACAAGAGAAAGTCCGCAAGAAAGTTCTTCAAAAACGTCGAAAGACAGGAGAAAAGTTTACAAGAAAGTTCTTCAAAAACATTGAAAATCAGAAATCCACAAGAAAGATTCACGAGAAAGTTCAACCCAAGATTAGTAAAAGTCTACAAGGTTTACTAAAAATGTCGAAAGATCCAAAAAAAGGTCACTTACTAATAAAGCACCAAAAGAAACTTGGAAAAAACATCTAAAAGATGAAAAAAAATTTAGTAACAAAAAAAAAATTTTTTTTAAAAAAAAACCCCGCCAAGAATCAATCACTGAAGAACGATAAGATACGTATGACGTAATAAAAATTTTATCGATCGATTATAGTAAATCAATTGCTGTAAAGTTTCTATATTCTGGAATTTCTAGAACCGTGAAATGCTATTTTTAGATTAAAATTTTTGTTTATCATATTTTTTTTAAATCCGATTTATTCAAAATGATTTACATGCAAAAAAGGGCTGTTTTAATTGATAATACCCCATATAGATATCAATTTATGCAGTATATAGATCAATACATGAATCTGTAGAATTTCTTCGCTTACTAAACTTTTTTTTATAGTAACATCATCGTTGATGTCATCTTTAGATTTAAGCTTGTCATTCTTATGTTTTTCCGACGTTTCTGTGAAGAGGTCTTGTGAAATGGTCTTATGTTCTTCGGCGTTCTTACGACGAGTTTCTCCAACACTCCTGTGAAGTGGTCTTACGTAGTTCTCCAACATTCTTGTGGAGGGATCTTACGTGTTAATCCGGCATTTTTGTTGAGTGATCTTCATGGTGCTCCTGTGGGGGTGGTCTTGGATGCTTTCCGGTGTTCTTGTGGAACGGTCTTAAGTGTTTTTTGGTGTAGTTTTGTTAAGTATTTTTTCTTTGGTTTCGTTTTCTTGGTTTACTTTGTATTTGCGAACTCCTTTTCTCTTTGGCTTGTCTGGGTTTCATTGGTATGTGGAATCAGTCACTATCAGTTTGTAGTTTTCTTTTTTTTTTTTTGTTTCCATATTTGCTAAATATTATCTTCTCGCTTTCTAGTGGTATTAGAACGATAAAAACTATATAATTTGATTGACAAATAATCGCACGTATCATTTAAGGCTGCATTTTTGATACATTCATATGGGAATATTAATACTGTTTGTAGAATTTGTGTATGTATACAATTGATTATCCCAATCAAAATCACGAAGCGGACAGGCTTCACGTAGAAGTTTAAAGAATTTCTAATTAAAAAAAAATTTTAAAATGGAGAGTCGAGTGTCACGTTAGGAAAAAAGTTTAAGCTGTTTTGTGCAAAATTGGCAGAAGAATATTTCGAAGAATTAGATGCAGTGATTACAAATGTCGAGTAAGTTTTTTACAGAGACTTGTTCGAGAATTGAAAGCAGTCGTGGCAACAGGAGAAACCGTCCAAATATAGATATGATTTTCATTCTCCGTTACACAGATCACTCATTGTATCGACCAGTCAAAATATCACTACGGGATTAGTCAACCAATCAAATTGCAAAATTTACAAAAAGACGAAACCATGGGATTCAAGGGGATTCAAAAAATATGTTGTAAAGCAAAGTGAGAGCTTCATGTTTGTTTAACTATTTTCAATATTCATAGAAAAGATAAGTCAAGCGAGCCTTCCAAAAAAGTATTGTAAAATAATATAAAAAAAATTTTTATCAATTGTGTAATGATTTTGTGACGTATCAACGGTTCCTCCTGTTAGTCGTGGCCAATTAATGTTGAACACTCCTAGTTTTCAAGGATCTTGCTCGGAAATCTTGCTCTCTCGCACAGAGATGTAATGATGAATAAGCCCAGCTACATATGATGATGCATATTCATTATTTTATTGTCATTTTATAGGTATATTATCTTAGAATTTTTATCAATTAAAGGAGAGTCGTATGTGGCGTTAAACCGAAGATACGAGCTGTTTTGTGCAAAGTTAGCGATAAGAGGTTTTGAGTCTTTAGTTATGTCTGTTGGGTAAGTCTTTCTTACAGAGTTATGTCGAATCATTACACAGCCTAAGTTACGCTGTCACCTTGATGTAAATTATCTGAGAATTGAAAGCGCATCGCGGCCAATGTTTCGGCATTGAACGTTCTTCTCAGTTTTCAAGGATCCCGTCCGTAGAATGTGGGGAAACCCTGCTCGGGGATTTAATGACGAATAAGCTGTGTGCTGGCCCCAGCTATATGTGATGATGAAGCATACTCATGATTTGATTGTCAATTTAGGGGATCCGAAAAAAAGATATTGGAGATTATGATTACAAAGAAGTAATACAGTAACAAGGTCTATAGGTATATCTTTTTTTTTTTTAATAGAAAACAGGCAAATTGTTTTTAGTAACTTTTTTTAAAAATTTAAATTTAAATATCTTAACAAATATTAAACCAAGTTTAATAAAAAATTTTTTATTTTGATCTATAATTATATAGAATTAAAATAAAAAATTTTTTATTAAATTTGGTTTGATAGTTGTTAAAATATTTGAATTAAAAGTTTAAAAAAATTTTATTTAGAAAAAATTTGCCTGTTTTCTATTGACCTCCCCCCATATATGGGATCTTTGCTAGGTTGGCAAATTTAATGTTTATTCACAAGATCAACATAACCTCAGTGGGTCATTTTTCTAGCAAAGTTCCCATATAACAAAATTGAGGGTTTATTTCTATTAGAGGTCAAGTGTCACATTAGAAAGAAGATTCAAGTTATTAAAGTTGGCGCAAGAGTAGTTGAAGAGTTAACCGCGGCAATTACATATGTTTGGTAAGTTTTTCTTATGGAGTTTTGCAGAGTCATTACACAGCCTAAGTTACGCTGTCACCTTGATGTAAATAATCTGAGAATTGAAGGCGCATCGTGGTCAGTGTTTCGGCATTGAACGTTCTTCTCAGTTTTCAAGGATCCCATCTGTAGAACGTGGGGAAACCCTGCTCGGGGATTTAATGATGAATAAGCTGTATGCTGGCCCAGCTATATGTGATGATGATGCATACTCATAATTCGATCGTCAATTTAGGGGATCCGAAAACGAAGAAAAAGACATTTCATTAGAAATATATAATTAAAAAAGGTGACGTGACACAAGACCTATTTTATTAGAATACATCTTTTTTTTAAATATATATATGTAAGTTTATATATATATATATATAACAAAATCAAGAGTTCATACCTATTAGAAAATCAAGCGTCGCAGTAGGAAGAAATACGTATTATTTGATATGAAGTTGGTGCAAGAGCAGTTGAAGAGCTAAGCGCAGTAATTGCATATGTTAGGTAAGTTTTTCTTATAAAGTTTTGTTTGATGCAAATTATCTGAAATTGAAAGCGCATCGTGGCCAGGATCCTGTTCAAGAACTCGCCCCTAAATAGATATGATGATAAA